TGAAGGGCAGCGACAGCTTTCCGTAAGCTCTCACTCTGCCCGCGCTGCGCGTTTACAGCGCTCGAATAATATATACTTATTTCTCGGGCACAATTTTCCTTAACAGACAGTTAAAATGGGCACATCGATCAATCGAATCGATGGCAACCTTGATGTCGAGGAACACGATTACGGTGACCCGCCAATAAATATGGCGATTTTCCAACAATTGACGCAGAGTAAAGATGTGATCAGTGCAGCCTAGACCTCGACCAAACCTGGCTTGCCCCTCACGAATCTGGCCTTCACGAGTGCTAGTCAATCTGGGAAGGATGACAGTGGCAAGCAAAGTTGGGGGGGATGGAGATCAAACTGTTTCCTCTATGGTAACCGGAATCTGAATGTGAGCCTTCCTTGACGATAGGGAAAATAACAGAGCGGCTGCAGTCGATTGGGACAGTTTCACTAGTATTTCGTGTAAATCAGTAAAAAGAGCAAGGGCCCCCGAATTCGAAGTGGGCTGAATGAAGATCATCTTGTCCCGCAGCTTTATTTAAATTCGACTTCTGAACCAGAAGACGAATCCAAAGAGCAGCCCAGAGAGCAGGGTGATCTCTGGATGGGTGAGGAGTCTAACAATTCCGGTCAATTAAATCGCCCTTCAAAGTGCTCAGCCCAACGCTCCAAGAGTTTTGACAAGTTGCGGATAGACTGTCTACTCTCGTCTTAAATAGGTTCACTAACACCAGGTCTTCTGCTGTTCGTTTCCCGTAGCAGACAGAAGAAATTCCGAAGGTTACCAACGGCAGTGGCCACTTCCATCTCTGACGCACGATGAGACCACCAGGACTCGCGGCCTCTCTTCAGGCTAACACGCAGTTTTCCCTGAGGTCTTTGCGAGTTTTGTTATGTTCGCTTCCAGCCAGAATGTGCCGGCGAGCATCGATAAGTTCCAGAGACTGCGAAGTGACTCAATATCCATGTTGGCTATTGAATTTATCACATGAGGATTTACATGCTGCTAATAAGGCCTGGGGAACACGCGACCAGTGACCTTCAACTGTATTCAGTGAGCGCTTACTCAAATCGCATAACAGCGTACTTTGATAGGCACTAAGAACAACTGGGTTTGTCTGACGGTTGGTGTCTATGCGCTCACAGGGTCGTTGAGGGCGTCAGCCAAAACGCACTCGCAAATTAGCACATACAAATGCGTGGTCAGTGTCCAAACATATACACCGAATCGAGCAACAATTTTGGACGCAGCCTCTGCAGCGATCACTAATTGCGATGTGATAGATTGGCGTCCATGCTTGGTCCAAGGCTGATGGGCGCCATGTCACCCTCCGGCGGGTGCTGTGTCGGAAGATGGTGCTCGCAAGATATAAGTGAGTGTCTTCACACAAAGGAAGTAATCATTCAACGTTATCATTGGCCGTCCGACTTTCTAACACATGCTTACTGCATTTTTTATTACTGATCAGCAAGCTTCAACAGACGCAGATTGCGGAAGAGACCAATCCAGTTGGCTTGAGTCAGTCCGTCGAAGTCCGTGTTCCAGTAGTGTTAGTCTGGCTGCAGTGCGTAGGATCGCTGTAGCGGCGATAAAATTCACCCACGAGTAGCTCTCTGCACCTGAGGTGGGTCGAGCACCACAACTGCTCACATAGGCCATCTTCGCTTCGGTGGGCGCGCACAAGGCTCCGCCATGGACATTCGATAGACTATCACATCGGAAGCACGATTGATTTAAAGCTCAACTTCCTGAGTGAGTACCTCAACGTTCAACGTTTCTGTGAGCCCCACAATGTGCGGTTGCTCAAAAGCAACGAAGCGAGACAGCTCATTGCGTGGGTACACGTTGCGTCTGAAGGACGCAAACAGAGGTTTCTCTTTCATCCTGTGTTGCTTCAGTGGTATTGCAGTGTGATTCGAACGTACGAATTACAGTACGCAAGCGAGTTATTTTGTGACATTTTGACTGCTGTTGAAGTTCAAGATTTGGCCAGTGTGCGTGCCTCTTTTATAAACCGACATTTGTGGCTCTCCATCCACTGTTCTTTAAAGCAAAACGTCCAAGAAAGGTAGCTGGTTTTCAAGCTGATTCTATGGTAGAATGAATGTCGACCATTGCATTGCTCAATAAATCCTGTGCCATATGCAGGCGGTTGCGTTTGAGAATCACAAAAGTATCGCCAACGTATCGATCCTATAATTTCGAATTAATGGTTGGGAGAAGTTTCGCTTCCAATCTCTGCATGACGGCTTCCGCAATCAGTCCAGATATATGGATCACGTTGGAGCTCTCTTCACCTGCTCGTAGAATATTCCATTAATTCAGAGGTATTCAGTATGGCACAAGATAAAAAGTTTGCACAGGTTTTCCGTCGTCAAATTCCCAACGGCTTGTTTGCCACTTGTAAGTTGACAGAAGTGAACAACGCGGTGGCGTCGAATGGCAGTATTAGTTTATTATGATCTATTCATAGGTATTTGAGCCCAGCAAAAAAATTGATGAGAATTGTGAGTCGTTGGTAAATGTTTCAGTAGTTCTCATAATTCTTTAGCCAAGTTGTAGGTTGGTGTACCTGGAAGTGACACGACTGGTCGTAGCTATGCACTTATCTTGTGTACTTTCGGAAGCCAGTAAAGTTGTGTAATCTCTGATTCACGAGATCTCCTTTTAAGGTGCTCTTCTTTTGTGAGTTGGCTCAATTACTGAAAGATTTCCAGCGTTCTATACGCTTTTTCGTTAACTGCACGGTTGAATCGTTAGACGAGCGGCGATAGGTTGTTGTGTTGTCCATTAGGACAATGATACGTCCCTTGTCGGCGGGAGATGGTTTTGTCGGCCTCCAAAGTTTTTATCGTGTTATTTCTTCCTGTGACAGCGAATGGTGTCTTTTGTTGCGTGTCAGGCATTTTCAAGTTGAGGAACTTGTCGTGTTCCTTAGTCTCCAGCTTTCGCAAAAGCAGTCTACATTTCCATCGGCCATCATCAGACTAGATAACATCTTATCTGCTGAACAAAGATTCGAATGTGAGGCCGGCACAGGAGTCATACTGAAACTCACAATCACTTTTAGCGAAAAAAGCATCAGCAGTACGGCGGTACGCAGCGCTGACGCTTCGCTGCCGCGCAACCATCGCCAGTCGCATATGGGTTAAGAATACTGCGAGGGTCGTCCGGTCCCTACGCAGGCTCGAACCCGCGCCCTCGGATTACAAAGTAGGCTTGTGATCCATAAGGCTAAGGGCCAGCACACTGTTAGCGACCGTAGCCACAGATGACTGCCGCTATCCAGCATTTGGTCTTGCTTGAGCCACAAGACGTTAAAAAATATTTACAATCAACCGCGTCTGGCTCACTTTAAATTGCTTAGGTTCAAGATGAATTATTACGGTGAGCTCCCCCACTGAAAACGGCCTTTTAAGGTTATCTAAACACAAGTTCCGCGTCGCCAAGGTCGCGCCTGGCCGCTCTGATCGGCTGATTGGATGACCAAGAAGCCATTCGTTCAGGTACCAATTTAATGGCTGTCAGACACAAGACAAGTACATAGCACAGACTACCGTTATTTATGTGTTCATAGTGGCCATAATAGTACTATTATCTACTATTCTTTAGTTACCAAAATAGTATGAGATTTCATACAAGACTCTCCCTTCAGAAATTTCAAAATGGAAAGAAAGAACATTGCAGATCCAAGTAGGGAGTTCTAGCTTTTGCAATGCGTGAACTGACTTCAGCCGTTATGCTCCCATCGTTGCCGATGCAGCTGCTAACTTATCAACTACCTCGAGTTCGTTGTTTACAAGGGTCAAGGGGTCATCAAGTGACTGGTGTTCCTGCAACAACACTGCAATTTGAACGTTCGGAGCGCATACCAAATAATGGGGCCACTCTAGTGAGGTCATCCAGAGTTGACTGCGCCGCCCCAACATCGTTTCACAGCAAGACAATATTGTCCGTATAATCAAGATCAAGTAGCAATTCATCAGGAAGCACTACAACGCCTGCAATGTGGGATTCAGTAAGGGAACACAGTATAACGGAGTTGACGATAAAATGATGTACATTACACGGGACTTTCAATTCACAAATTTCAAGATGGCAAGAAAAGGTAACATTTCGACAGAATAACCTGAAGTCAACTATTTCGCGTATTCTCATCGGCCGTTTACATACAAATAGTGGAATGGCTAAGTTACATACAGAGACATTTAAGGTGTAAAGTCATTTGATAAGCGAAAACTGTCAAGGTTCATCTGACTGGCTGGTACACAGCTTAGAGGAATGTGGCCATCAGCTTTACCTAGGCAAGGCGAAACTGGCGATGAACTCGATCTGCTTACACAAAGTGGGTTTCAGCCGCCTAATTACCGAAATTAAACACTCGCCTAGCGGTGTGTATTTTGCGTCAATGTCTTTACCTACAGGCCAAACATTCGTTCAAAAAGGTGTATCGCTTTTCTCCAATTGCCCATGATTTGGCCCCAGTCAATGTGAACATGCCAGCCCGGCAGATATTCTACGGCGCGCCAGGTTTAGTCATCAGCATTTTCTATGCCCATCGAATTTCGCCAGTCTTAATGCCCAATTTGGTTAGCTGCTCGCACACCACTGTAAACCTAGCCATGAGCGACGAGTTTCATCAGTATTTCGCGTGATCCATCAGCGGTTTATCCGTGCTGTCTGTCTGGCCAAACGCTGTAGCGCAGTGCATAGGCATTCGCTCTGTTTGGCTGCCTAATAACTGAGACCGAGTTCGACTGATCTTCGACCAATGACCTGACGAGAGTCGGCCTCAGAAAGTGCTTGGAGTGCCACCCAACGTAGACCAGTGGATCACGGTAGTGTGCAGACCATCGCAATTCACTTGTGTGATCGACTGTTATAGAACGGCACTAGATCAGCTATGTCCACCGCAGCTAGTGCTAAGCGAAACACCAAAAAGTTGAAAACGTATGAGAATAAGTGATCAAAATGATGCAAGTGACATGAAAATACTGTGACTTACCTGAATAGCTTTCGGTTGCCTTACAAGATAGTTCGGCAAATCAGTCGGTGCCCAGTTTGCACCGGAGGAGTTCATAAGAAGAAGCATGAACCTTTGAGCAAAAGAACCGTCTCCACCATCAAGGTAAAAATAACTAACACCTCGTTCAGATATATTACGGAGAGTTTCCTGGAGACCTTGAGGAGGTAGGTAGATATCGCCATTGAAGTTTTTGAGTAGGTCAATGATATTTTCGGCGCCGATGAGGTTGGTCGAATTTGCTAGCAGCACGGCCTGCGCCAAAGCGGGCTCAGGCTGAAAAGAGAAAATATAATATAACATGCATTACCATATCAAAGCTGAAATGCGATTATTGGTAGAAGAGCAAAAGCCAGTCGATTTGCATCAAATCTCAAAGTATTAACGTACTCGCGCCCCAACGCATACATTTCAGATAAATCTGCTTAACTCACATATGTTCATTGATGACAACATTGGAATCAGGTTAAAACGACTGCTTGCGTTTCGAGGTGTTTAGAATGGCAAGAAAAGCTAAACCCAGACAACGTGATTGTGGTTCAACACTCGACACGACCTTCACTTTCGCATCGACCAAAGGCCACCAGTCACCACTGGATGCTTCGTCATATTTCTCTGACAAAAGTTTGTCGTGTGTCTCAATACGGGTGGTTTTCGCAAGTGATTAACGAGTACTAACCAGATAGAGGCTAAGAGATGGAGAAAACCAGCGTGCTGGAATCCAATAGCGTCGTTGCACTGAAGCCTTCGTAAATCTAGCTGTCAACCTGCCAACCCGATTAGTTTCATTTTCAGATTCTACAACCTCCCTTTTCGTTCCATGTAACTTTGCTAAGTGTTCATAGTAATTTGATACACCGCGCTCCGATATTTAAATGGTCCAAAATGAACTGACGCTAAAGCTAGCTGTGGTTGTGTCCGACCCGAAAGTGTTCCTGTTTCGTTTGTAAGTGAGTAAGAACCCAGCCACCAGCAGCGCGTGCCTACTTTAAAAGTGCAGGGCGTCACCGCATCAAACGTCTGTTGGAATGTACATTAAGATCGATTTAAAGAGAATAATGGTGGGCGGTTGTCATGGAAAAACAAGCGGCGAGAAAGAAGATAGATTTTCAGAGAAAAGCCATATATATCAAAACATCCGGGAACCATAGGAATACGAACTAGACAAGACGCAATGAACAGATCTCTTTTTACGTAGGAATCACACAAGGACAGAAATATGGAGAAGGAGTAAATCACACAGTGATGCAAAACAAAAAGTAAACACAAAAATCGCGCGAAATCCAACAAGTATTTACCTTAAATCCACTGGACGCCAGGCGTATAACGCCTTCGAATAAACTGGGCCAAGGGATTTTCCCGAAATGCCGATGAGCCGCATCAAGTCCCCGCACGAAGCCAGGTACGCCAACAAGTGTCAATGGAGTAGACTCGTCAGGGTTTTGTGCACCACTAGGGGCGGTGCATATGAAGTCATACAAATGGCTGGTTTGCGAACTTTGTTCATGCACGAGCATCAATCCACAGCCAGCCAAACCTGATGTAAAGAGCAAGAAAATACTTGCTTTTAATTGGTTTGTCAATGCAGTGTTAAGTTCAAGTACAGAAAGTCCAATAAAGCTTAGGTTTGCATTCATGAACAGTGCAATGGATTCATCTACTTCTACTCACGTCCCACAATAATATTATAACTTTAACGACGATGAGCCAAAAGAAACGGACTATAATGAAAAGCTGCGGACGAAATGAACAATATTTGAAAATGAAAGAAGTGAATCAAGACGAATCAGAAACAGTGGTGTAAGATTTTACTAAACTCGTCTCGGAGGAACACAGAACTACCCAGCACAGAGAACACTGCTAGTAATACCGAGTGGGAAATTCCTAAGGTGAATTAGAAGATAACCTAGAATGGTCCCGTCATGTATGGTATATCTAACTAAACAACAACAAATAAGGCCAGTTGATGGAGGGGAGAAACGGATTGGGTCGTTCATGATACTAAACGGAAGCAGAGAAACCCTTTTGAAGTATTCTGCTATAACAACGGGTAATTGATGAGTAGGAGTGAGGATTTTGGTATAATTACATCTTCATCATCGTCACTCCCAATCAGCAGGCTTAGGCTAGCCTGGAAAAGCACTAGACGCTGGCGTTTCGACCTTCTGGGTCTCGTCAGTGGTGCGCCTCCTTCGGACCCCTGCCGGTTTCCGCCCCATGACTTCAGGATGCCAGCAGCTAGTGCCACTTCGCCATGGGTGACAGCCGCGGACCTGCGTGATTGACAGTTGACTATGATATAGCCCGAGAGTGACGATGATGAAGTAGCTGTAATTATACCAAAATTCTCACTTTTACTCATCAGTAATAAAAAATCCGCCCGTATAGCTTCTAAGTCCTATGTTGTACAAAGGCGTTATGCGGAAAGTCCTAGCTCTGCACAGTTCGTAACTGGCATGGCAGTGGAAGATGAGACGGACTATATCATAGTCAACTGTCAAGCACGCAGGTCAGCGACTATCATCGATGGCGAAGTGGCACTGGCTGCTGGTATCCTGAAATCACGGGGGCGGAAACCGGCAGGGGTCCGCTGTGAGGGGCACCACTGACGAGATCTAGAAGGTCGAAACGCCGGTGTCTGGTGCTTCTCCAGACTAACCTAAGCCTGCTGATTGGGAGTGACGATGATGAAATAGCTGTAACTACGGATACGTAAGTGAGAATCCAAAAAAGAGGTTAAAAGACGACTTAGAGACCGCGATGCTAGGCTCAATGAAATACAGCAAGAACATCTATGCCGATCAGTGCCACTGACGGCATCAAGAAACGACGTTGCTCCATAAGCGATCGTCAGCGGCCAGAACGTGCTGGAGTAAAGTATCCATATCCGTTGGTGTCAAGTTCGAAAAAGACACTACACATAAAACAGTGACTCTTCAGCATCAAAGGCTGTATACTGTACACGGAATACCATTGAATAGCCAGTATAATAAAACCGCATAAATTTAACGAGATATGGGCAAAAGCGCTATAAATGCTCGTGTCACCAGTCGACACTCTACTCGTAATTCCAGTTCCAATGTAAAATTTACAGATGGACTCACAATAACACAGGGCTCATAAATGTGAAATGGCGCTATCAATGGTTAACTGTACTAGAAATCTAACAATGAAGACATGCAAATCTAGCAATACTTCGAACTACTGCACAGATTTGTCCACCACGACTTATTTGGCAAACTGTTCCAAACATATACCACTCGTTGTTCAAAGCACAGGGGTTGGGTAGTGGTTTCATATCCGGCAACACAAGGTTGTACCGATGTCCGTATGTAGTGCATGGTGTTTGCAGATACAACAGCGGCTTCACTATGATAGTCACCGTGAGGTAGCGAATGGTAGGTCATGATGAAGTCAACTTGTACCCGACGATAGGACGACTAACAGTCCAGATTCCTTGCGCCGGTCTTCGTACAGCAAACCATGTTAGCCGGAGATAAGCTGAACATGCTGCACCGGTTCGCTCTTCTGTGCTGCAGGTGATCGGACAGGAGGTGGGTAAGCCCTACTCTAGCATTATCCTTATGATGGAGGAAAAGAGACATCAATTCAAAAAGGGCAGAAACTAGATTTGAGCGCCCGATGCATGCACAGCCCATTTCTGCATAGGCAGTTCATGTTGTCCACGAATTTCAAACCCCAGGGGTTCCCATAAACCCAGTGGTTGGACATTAACTGGAGGAAGAAGAATGAACTCCTCGGGAAACCTAACAGTGAGCACACACTAGTCTGCTGATGTTCATGAATGTTATCGGAGTTAAGGCTAGTGTCTATAGCCGTTAAAGTAGACTAGTTTACAAGGCAGAGGGCGTATATTGTGTATCATAAGCTCCACATTGATTCAGTGGTAATATTGCACTCTTAAGCGACACCGTTTTAAGTTTATAGCCGGCTGAGGGGTTGCAACAACACCTGAAACTGTGACTCATTTTGGACTTTGACCCACGGTGTTTGAATTTTGTAGCAAGCCGATAAGAAAGATTCTATGGGAGCACATCTATGAGTTATATAAAGCTGGCCTAAGATGCGGGGCTATCGGAATGGAGCATATACTACCGTTTACTTTGCTCGTAAGTTGTATAGTGGGAGGCGGTAGAAGAACGGGTTGATAGGAGAGACCCGTTGGCAATTGCGAAATTATGATTAAGAGCGCAACCCAAGTCCCTCGGGGACAGGTGCAGAGAAGTATAACCTAAAGCCTGAGGTTGACGTGAGTCGGTAAAAGTGTTTGTGATTTCCAATAATTGTGGTGTAAGTACAAATGTGTAAAAAAATGCCTACCAGGTTTAGGGGTGGAATAACGCTGTGGTTGCTTCTACTTACGCTACATTTGCATTGGCTCTTATTCGTAGTTTTTCATATAGGAGACTTAATTTATTCTATATTATCTTTTCGCTTGCGGTTAGGCTATAGAAGTAGAGCTCATGTAAAAGCGTGGCAATGAAACATTTGGCGAAGATAAAAGACGATGTGGAATCTGTGAAAGAAAATAGTTGAAACTTACTGGCCAAGTCAGGTCTGGCTACTGCCATACAAAAGGAAGTCGCGACTGCAGCATCGACAGCGTTCCCACCTTTGTTTTCCATGACATCAAGTCCCAATCGGCTGCAATAAGCGCTTTCAGACACCACAGAGCCATGCGGTCTGATTTGCTGCAGGCCAGCAAGTAAACTGATGACGAGGGCAACCGTTATTGAGGCCGAGACGACGACAACACTTAAAACAACTAGAGTCATGCCTTGCAATGACCATCCCCACAACTTGCGCGGATATGCCTTCTCCTCAATTACATTTGCCCTGTTGAAACTGGACTCCGGGTTTCTCAGTGCAGAACTTTCGACTCCGTTCTCCTTTTGCTCCAGAGACAAAGGCTCCAGAATGCATTCAGTATCCTTGGTGTCCATTAAAAACCCATTGGCAACAAGGTGGGAGAGTGGACAGTATCAACGAGAGCTTAATGAAAGATAACGCGGAACATAAACAAAAAAGAAGAAACAATCTAATGAGCCCGAGCTATTAGTGACATCACGAGAACCTCAATTAGCTGGGGGTAGTAAGTAAATCAGCAAGGCTGAAAAACAGCGGATACCAACACCAGGGACTAGCAAGTTAGGCGTCCGCGTCAGGAATAGGATCAGGTACCTGACCCACTTCAAACCAATGGATCTGAATAAGATTGACTTATCATATAATCACATATATGGTTTGGGATAGGATAGCGTTAAAAGTTAAATGTCAGTGATTTCCCTATCCTGTGCCGGATTATATCCACCGGTCGATTAACTTGTAACGCAAACTGAAAATAAATACAACTTCAGGTGAAATTGGGAAAATAGAAGAATCCCCTGAATGCTGCTGCTTGAACAGATCGATAATATAGGGACAGATAAGGCGCACTGACACATAACAGCATCCAAATGATGCTCCAAACCAATGATTGTAGGTTTTCTTAAACATTTTATGGAAGTGATTTCTAACGCTCAATAACTCCGTTCGACAATCGAGTTTCCGCCCTAATCCGGCTTGTGTAGCTTCATCGGATCACCGCGGAGAATACATAATGCTGAATACTGAAAGTAGAGCACCAGAAAATATACATCTGTGTCGTCCCATTGATATATTATCGAGGTCTCATGTAGAGTAACGTTACTTTTTACCGCGCACTGTTTCAGCATCGTGCATCAGTATACACCCTAGATAGAAGTGGAAAACATCTCAGCTACGGTACCGAAATACATAAAAAAGAAATAACCTACAACAGGTGCACGCCAGCTGAGCTACCAATAACGGATGTGTATCATTCTGGAAAACTACCAACCGGCTACTATGCGGCAAAAAATATTAGGCAACTTTTGTATTATGCTAAGAAATGAGAGGGAGAGGGATAAAGAAACTCAACACGAACGCTACTGAGGTCGGCTCCTAGTCATGTCTGCAAGTGTATCCAGTCAAGCATGTTCATCGCCTTTCGGACGCCAACTAGGGAGCCGAGGACAACGTCGAAGTGAGGGACTCCATTCCTCTTGACCAAATCATCGCTTGGCCTCCCCTCCTCTTCTTCCATCCACACCACCGACGCGCAAATAAAGCATGAGGCGGGAGTCGGTGGGCTGGCATGCGTAAAAGGTGGCTGAGCCATCGGAGACTGGTGCGTGAAATAACGGTGCTGAGCGGTTCATTTCCTTTTCCTGTGCCATAAACAAGACGTCAATCGCGCTCGTTGTTCACGCGACGTTCTCACAGCGAACTGTTTACGAAGTTCGGCCGTGCAACACCGTATTCAGATGCGTTGCGCTCTCGAAATCTGTAATCCGCAATGTGTGTCTAGGAAGTCCTTGAATTGCGACACCGATTCCGTTTCGACTATCGTACCGGGCAAATTTTTTCCATTATTTTACCACTGAGCACTCGAAGCATACTCCGTGAGTTATACACTTCAGGTCCGGCACCGCAAGCACGTACCCATGCCCACGAGTGCTACTTGATGCGCGCACGTGCAAAGGCGGTCCCTGCATGAATAAGTGATTCAGTGCTTAATGAGGTCCACTTGTAACCAGGGTGTACAGCCGGAGTCTCCTGCATCAGTGTTCGCACGACATATACCGTAAATTGGAGATGAGTCTAGTAGCTACATGCCGAACGCGTTCCAGTCTCTGCATCTCGCCACAGGTGATCGGACAGTAGGCAGGCGATCCGCACTCGAGCATCGGTCTCATGATGAATGATAAGAGGCTAGTGTCAATCGGTACAAACCAAGTGAAGAAGCTGTGTCTAAGCGTCCAAAGCATGCATACCCAGTTACCATTTAGCCTGTTCGTGTTGTCCGCGGACTACGAATCCCAATGTGAGTAAACCCAGATACTTCACGGAATGTGTAGATGTAGCGGTTGACTGGCCAGAGTGTATGCACGCTCATCAACACCCTTCCACAGGCTCATAATAAAGACTTGACAGAGTTGACTAGCAGATCGACATCTGCAGACCACATGGACAAGCGGTGGAGGTCAAGCTGAAGTACGACGCAGTTATCAGGAGCATCAACTACTCTCCAAATTTTCAAGTCGTCTGTAAACAAAGCACAGTGAACTGAAGAAGTTGAGATATTTCAGTGATGTGGATCAGGAACAAAGTGCGCCCCAATACTGCGCCGGGGTACAACATTGCTGGAAGGATACCAGCCAGCCGAATGATCATCCAACTGTACTCTCCAGTTCCGTCCAATAAGGTATTGGCTGACCCACTGGTGTAGTGAGCCACAAACATCGCACATCCTCAGCTTGTGCAAGAGGACCAATTGGTTCGCAGTGCCGAACGCTAAATGGAAATCAATGTAAATCATATCGACAGAATTCTCTTGGTTCATTGCGTGCAATCATTCATGTCTCATCTCGAGCAAGTTGGTGGAGCACGAGAGGTCTTTCATGAAATTGTGCTGAGGGCGTCATGAAATCTTTCAATTTTAATAGTAGACCTTTCTACACGATCTCGAGCATTATGGCTAAAACGGAGATCAGGCAAATTAGCCGGTAATTGTTTACCTTGCTTGAGTCATTGACCTTCGGAATCGGCTTCACTACCGAGAGTTCCTAGTCGCCTAACAATGAGCATTCGGACAGCGACCTGTTAAAGAGATCAGTCACATAAGGCGAGATGATGCCCGATAGGGGCTTCAGCATCAAGAAGTGAATCCCTTCAGGAGGGACAGGCTACGTGCCGTATATATTCCACACCGCAACCCAAACTGTCGAATTCGGTTGGGGCTGCACAAGTCGGACTGCACGCAGACTCATGCCATTTGCAAATATAGAAGCGAAGTGTGCCGCCAATGCAGATGCACGGTCAGCGCTTGAAGTCAAGGGCTGTCTGCCAGAGCCCTCTAACACTGCTACGTCAACCGTAGGCTTCAGGTGCCGATCCACGTAAGGAAGGATTTTTGGGCACCGTCTTCGCTGAGGCTGCAAGCTGTTCTTCAAATTACTGACGCCACTGTGCTTCCGCGTTGCTGCATAAATTCCACTATCACTTCAATATCTTGGAACATACTTGGAACTCATCGGGAAGTCATGATTTCAGAAAACTTGGCAGGCGACCGGTTAATGTATTTATGGTAATAGACAACGTTTCGCTTTTGACACAAAAGCTTCATTAGGCGAAGTTATTTATCTTAACACTGGCATTTTTATAGCGATCATGACAAAGCTACATGCAGGGACGAATCAATTTGCAGTTCGTCAACGAATGATTACAGCGATCAGAGGTACATTGTAGAGTTTTCAGTCAGAGTCAAGTGGGGAAAGGAAATTGCCGGTCCGCGGAGAGTTACATGTGTGGCTAGCAATATTAATTGAACCATTGTAAGGAATTTGGAATTCGGGTCGAACGCTACGGTCCACGCTTGTGCATCTAAAAGATTCACTACCCTTAGATAGAACAACTAATTGTATTTACAAAATTCCATGTGAAGATTGTACGCAAGTGTATATAGGTCAAACAGCGAGGGAATTACGTACAAGGATTTCAGAACATAGGCGACACATATCACGACCACCGCGAAATGAGTAAGAGTATGGAGCTCTACTCAGAGATTCGGCAATAGCAATGCATGCGCTAGACACAGGGCACAAAATTGACTTCGAAAATGTTGAGGTTATCAGGAAGGGATTACGATCAACCAAACAAAGGCTGAGTGCTGAGGCTATAGAAATAAGCAAGGCTAACAACTGCGTGAATCGAATAGACGGAGTAGGGCTGTCTAGTGCCTGGCGTCCAGTCTTACTCCGATCAGCTTGATAAGCATCGGTGGATGGATCCTAAATCGGAATGATTTATCGACCAACTCTCCACCGAATTCCAAATTCCTTACAATGGTTCAATTAATATTGCTAGCCACACATGTAACTCTCCGCGGACCGGCAATTTCCTTTCCCCACTTGACTCTGACTGAAAACTCTACAATGTACCCACGAACATAGTGACCTCTGATCGCTGTAATCATTCATTGACGAACTGCAAATTGATTCGTCCCTGCATGTAGCTTTGTCATGATCGCTATAAAAATGCCAGTGTTAAGATAAATAACTTCGCCTAATGAAGCTTTTGTGTCAAAAGCGAAACGTTGTCTATTACCATAAATATATTAACCGGCCGTCTGCCAGGTTTGCTGAAATCCACTATTACTTGTACATAAGGTAATCGTAGGCAGATACAGACAGGTAGAATTTATTCCATAGTATGCGGCACCGTCGAGCCAAATGACCATACTCCTTGTCGGACCAGTGTGACTTCACTGACCCATATTTCTGATACATGTGTAGCACGAATCGAGCGCACGATGAGCAAACACCCATTTACAACAGATAAGTCAGGTGACAGAGACCTGTCCATTTGAAGAACGTCTCAAGTGAAACTATCGAAGTCAGTTTTGAGGCAGTTGTAGGATGATTTCTGTGGACGTATGGCAGCGGCAGCTATAGGCTGGTTGCGACCAGCGGAGTGTTCGCGCGTTGCCAGTTGCCCTAGAGCATGAACATATGTGACTGATACTGTACAAACTATTCGCAGCTAGTTGACATCAGATCCAAGCATGTTGGATTTGAATGTTGTCTGAGGCGCGTCGGCTCGAAAGAGTACTATGTTGCTCAAGTCTCATGGTTGTATCTTATCTTTGCACGATAGCCAGCTGTTTGTGATGGTATGTTGTCTACACGAGGTGTAAGCGCCTTGACCCTGAATGTTTGCTTAGGGCATTAAGGTTTTCAGGTAAGTCCCTCTTCTTTCCCTCATATCATTCTTTATTTCGTAGGTCCTCATGGTTGTATGGCAGCGAAGCATCAGTTCAAATGGCTGATGTACTGCTGTTGATGATGATGATGCTCAAGTCTCAATTATCATCACAGGAAACTGTCACAATTTCACAGTGCCAGGGGAGGAATTGCTCTTCAGGCTAAAGGTGAG